TAGTTTGTTTTGCTGTACAAAAGTTCTTTAGTTATATTAGATCCCACTTGTCAAATTTGGCTTTTGTTGTCATTGCTTTGATGTTTTAGTAATGAAGTCTTTGCCCATGTTTATGTTCTGAATGGTAATGCCTAGGTTTTCTCCTAGAGTTTTTATGGTTTTAGGTCTTATGTTTAAGTCTTTAATTCATCTTGAGTTAATTTTTGTGTAAGGTGTAACGTCCGCTTTCCGCATATGGCTAGCCAGTTTTCGCAACACCATTTATTAAATAGGGAATCCTTTCCCCATTGCTTGTTTTTGTCAGGTTTGTCAACGATCAGATGATTGTAGATGTGTAGTGTTATTTCTGAGGCCTCTGTTCTGCTCCATTGGTCTGTATATCTGTTTTGGTACCAAAAACCATGCTGTTTTGGTTATTGTAGCCTTGTACTATAGTTTGAAGTTAGGTAGCATGATACCTCCTGCTTTATTCTTTTTGCTTAGGGTTGTCTTGTTTATATGGGCCCTTTTTTTGGTTCCATATGAAATTTAAAGTAGTTTTTTTTCTAATTCTATGAAGAAAGTTATTGGTAGCTTGATGGGGATAGGATTGAATCCATAAATTACTTTGGGCAGTATGGCCATTTTCATGATATTAATGTGTCCTTTCCATGAGCATGGAATGTTATTTCCTTAAGCAGTGGAGAAACTCACTCAAAACTGTACATCCGCATGGAAATTGAGCAATCTTCTCCTGAATGACTGCTGGGTAAATAATGAAATTAAGGCAGAAATAAAGAAGTTATTTGAAACCAATGAGAACAAAGACACAACATACCAGAATCTCTGGGATATGGCTAAAGGAGTGTTTATAGCACTAAATGCCCATGGGAGAAAATGGGAAAGATCTAAAATTGACACCCTAACATCGCAATTAAAAGAACTAGAGAAGCAAGAGCAGACAAATTCAAAAGCTAGCAGAAGGCAAAAAATAACTAAGATTAGAGCAGAACTGAAGGAATAGATACACAAAAAACCCTTCAGAAAAATCAGTGAATCCAGGAGCTGGTTTTTTGAAAAGGTTAGCAAAACAGATAGACCACTAGCCAGACTAATAAAGAAGAAAAGAGAGAAGAATCAAATAGACACAATAAAAAATAATAAAGGGGGTATCACCACTGATCTCACAGAAATACAAACTACCATCAGAGAACACAATAAACACCTCTATGCTAATAAACTAGAAAATCTAGAAGAAATGAATGAATTCCTGGACACATACACACTCCCAAGACTAAAGCAGGAAGAAGTCGAATCCCTGAATAGACCAATAACAAGTTCTAAAATTGAGGCAGTAATTAATAGCCTACCAGTCAAAAAATGCCAAGGACTAGACGGATTCACAGCCAAATTCTACCAGAGGTACGACGAGGAGCTGCTACCATTCCTTCTGAAACTTCCAAACAACAGAAAAAGAGGGACTCCTCCCTTACTTTATGAGGCCAACATCATTCTGATACCAAAACCTGGCAGAGACACAACAAAAAAAGAAAATTTGAGGCCAGTATCCCTGATGAACATCAATGCGCAAATCCTCAGTAAAATACTGGCAAACCAAATCCAGCAGCACATCAAAAAGCTTATCTACCACGATCAAGTTGGCTTCGTCCCTGGGATTCAGGGCTGGTTCAACATATACAAATCAATAAATGTAATCCATCACATAAACAGAACCAATGACAAAACCCATGTGATTATCTCAATAGATGCAGAAAAGGCCTTCGATAAAATTCAGTACCTCTTCATGCTAAAAACTCTGAATAAACTAGGTATTGATGGAATGCATCTCAAAATAATAAGAGCTATTTATGACAAACCCACAGCCGATATCACACCGAATGGGCGAAAGCTAGAAGCATTCCCTTTGAAAACAGGTACAAGACAAAGATGGCCTCTCTCACTACTCCTGTTTAAAACATAGTTGGGAGTTCTGGCCAGGGCAATCAGGCAAGAAAAAGAAAGAAAGTGTATTCAAATAGGAAGAGAGGAAGTCAAATTGTCTCTGTTTGCAGATGACATGATTATATATTTAGAAAATCCAATCATCTCAGTCCCAAATCTCCTTTAGCTGATAAGCAACTTCAGCAAAGTCTTAGGATATAAAATCAATGTCCAAAAATCCCAAGCATTCCTATACAACAATAATAGACAAACAGAGAGCTAAATCATGAGTGAACTCCCATTCACAATTGCTACAAAGAATAAAATACCTAGGAATACAGCTTACAAGGGATATTCTAAAGGACCTCTTCAAGGAGACAGTATAAAGCTTTACAATCACTTTGGTGAATAATTTGGCAGTATCTAGGGAAGTTGAAGTTAAGTCATAGCCATGAGTGTAATTCCACTTCCACATACATAGAAATCTTAAGTATTCCTTTAAGAAACTCTTACTTGGGAATAAAAGAAGACACCTTTGTTTGTAATGGCAAAGAAAACAGTGGTAGCAATCTAAATGTCCCTCAGCAAGAGAATAGATAAATTTTGGAATATTAATACATTGAAATACTTTATATACTTGAAACAGATGACCAGATGTACTGTGTGTTAAATGTTTTTTCATCCAGGCTTAATGTTTGCGGTACGCATTAAATGTTGTTCACCAAATAGTCCCTTTTTTTTTCCTCCCTGGTGCTTTTCCCAGGCACATAGCAGGTTTGTGCTTTCTAGTCCCCTTTGAAGTTAGGTAAGGCCATGTGACCTGTCTTAGACAATGAAATTTGTGCAAAGTAACATGTTACTTTTGGGGAAGAGTTTTAGGAGCCAGTGCCCAGCTTACTCTCTTCCCACGGCTGCTGTGATTGGGGAAGCACATGTCACTATGAAGCCTCTGTCACTGGGATCCCTGAGTGATACAATGAGCAGGACCTCCTGGCTGATTGTATTGAATAAATGTGTTCTATGTGAAGCCACTGAGAGAGTAGGGGCTTGTCAGTTGCTGCAGTATAACCTGTCTACAGTGTTATCGCTCAGCTCAATTTACTGTACATCTTGTGCCATTTCCTTTCATTCTCTCTTCCAAATCAAAGAATACTGCCCTTTTTCCAGGAGACAGAAGTACCATAGCTTACCTTCTAAATTTAATCCACTTCTTTTTCTTTCCAAAGTCACAGGGAGTTTCTCTCTGAGCTCTTTCTCTGCCAGGAAACTCCTTACAGGTAATTTCACCAGTGTTTTTGCTTGTTGCTTTGGAGTTAAGCTTTATAATCAAGGAATTCATCACCAGAAAAATTAATCCTCTCTCTCTCCCTTCTCTCCCTTCCTTTCTTCTCTGTGGGTGGCTTTACTCAGCTACAGAGAGCAAAGCAATTAGTGAAGGCATATGAGATGAGGGCTTAAGTACAAGCATGTCCAACTTTGGAAAATAAATGAGTTGCGTAGAAGATATATGTAGAATTACGTTTTCTTTTCCAATCTACTTTTAAATTATCTGAAGTAAGCTGCAAACCTTGAATATAAGTAGGTTTTGGTTAAATAAATGGAGAAAATTATAGGTTTTTGTTTTAAATGCACAGGAAAGGTCCCAGGGGACTTAAAAGGCCCCTCACCTTTTATTCTCTTCTCAGTGTTTAAAGAATTTACATCATATTGAGCATCCATCATTTTGTGGAAGTTCTTGACTTATATAAATGAGCAGATTGATATAGATTTGAATTACAGAAAGAGAGACTCAAAATCAGAACAGCTGGGTTTTTAAGATGCAGCAGTTCACTAACAATGGGAAGAGCATATATATTGCAATGCACAGAATAGTAGACAAAAAGAAATCAATCGTGGCTGAGGGCAACTGTATATTCTGAAATGGGTTTGGTGCCACATCCTGGATCACTTTCCTATTTTGTGAGTTTCAGAATTGAGAAAGAAACATAAACGTGTTTCTTTAAGCAGACTTTCAGAAGAATAGATTAAATATCTGCATTAGACATAAAATCATTTTTTGTTTGTTTTTGAGAGGGAGTTTCACTGTGTTTCCAAGGCTGGAGTGCAGTGGTGTGATCTTGGCTTACTGCAACCATTGCCTCCCAGATCCAAGCAATTCTCCCATCTCAGTAGGCCGAGTCGCTGGGACCACAGATGTGTGCTACAACGCCTGGCTAATTTTTTATATTTTTGGTAGAGATGGGGTTTCACCACATTGTCCCAGCTGGTCTTGAACTCCTGAACTCAAGCAATCTCCTCTCCACAGCCTCCTAAAGTGCTGGGGTTACAGGCGTGAGCTACTGCACTGACCCAGTTAATATTTAGACCTTTTGGTTGGTTTGGGGGGGCTTCCAAAATTTCATCTTCCCTCTTCCCAAGCTATTTTATTTTTCTGTATTACTTTCCTAGATTCCCTTTTTAGTTTTACATTTACGTATATAGCTCTAAAAGTATGTTTTATTTTGACTTTGTTGAAAACTTTGTATAAATGAAAACATAGCCTGTATTTTTCTATATCTTGCTTTTCCTTTTCCCTTTTCTTTTCTTTTCTTTTTTCTTTTCTTTTGTTTTTGAGGCAGAGTCTTATTCTGTCACCCAGGCTGGAGTGCAGTGATGTGACCTTGGCTCACTGCAACCTCTGCCTCCTGCATTCAAGCAATTCTCCTGCCTCAGCCTTCCGAGTAGCTGAGACTACAGGGTCATGCTGCCATGCCTGGCTAATTTTTTGTATTTTTATAGAGATGGATTTTCGCCATGCTGGCCAGGCTGGTCTCAAACTCCTGACCTCAAGTGGTCTGCCCGCCTTAGCCTCCCAAAGTGCTGGGATTACAAATGTGACCCACCGTGCCCAGTGGGTTTAACATTTTTTAAAAGCTATTTGCCATGGAAAATGTATTCATATCTGAAGATAATCAAAATGTTCTAATTTTTCTTTTACCATTGATTTGAGATAGCAGTTAATTAATTTTGTTCTGAGCACACTATCAAGATATATTTGGCTTCCCTTATCCTGATGCCAAATCGTGTTTTTGGATTCACAGTTCCCATGGAGAACATTGCAACAATTGCTGATTGTGCCAGCGTGATTGAAGGAGTCAGTCGGAGCCGAAATGCCTTGCTGAATGGGGACACTAAGAATTATGATTGGGATTCTGGCTACACATGTCACCAGCTAGGAAGTGGTGCGATTGTGGTTCAGCTGGCACAGCCATACATGATTGGGTCAATACGGTAAGAAGATTACTCCTCATTCATTAGTTTTAAAATGGAAGATACACATACAGATTGTATTTTGATAAAATGAAAATCTTAATAACTTCAGTAAAGAAACGCTACTGTTCTTTGCTCTAAATGTCAAGAAAGGAGTGGGAGCCAAAGGAAGGGACAACGATGAGATATAGGGTGCTTGTTTGGATTTTCTGCTGGGGCAGTACACGGAAGTTAGACTCATGGAGGAACTAGACAAGAGGCTTCTCGCTGGGTGGCTTATGTCCTTCTCAAGGGTCAATTTGTATTTGTTAGAGGCTTATAGGATAATGTCAAAATAGATCATATAGAATGAAAAATCGTTTTCAACTTTAATAAATTGCATATGAACCAAACAGATCTGAAGTTGAGATCTGGTTCTGAACCATCTTAGTGATCTTGGTGTCTGGGCTTTTCGTTGTTCCTTTTTGTTTTGTTTTAAGAAGGGAACTAACCTTGCTCGATTTATAGGATTATATAATTTTTAAATGTGAGACTGGTGATATCCCTCAGAGGATATACAGTCTTGCATTGCTTAATGGCAGAGATACAATGTGAGAAACGCACTGTCAGCCAGTTTTGTCATTGTGGAAACATCATAGAGTGTCCTTTCACAAACCTGGTTGGTATAGCCTACCACATACCTAGGCTAGATGGCATATCCTACTGCTCCTAGGCTACAAACCTGTACAGCATGTTACTATACTAAAGACTGAATTATACCACAGTGGTAAGCATTTATGTATCTGAACATGTCTAAATATAGAAAAGGTACAATAAAAATGTATAAAAGATAAAAAATGGTGGCTGGGCACCATGACTCATGCTTGTAATCCCAGCACTTTGGAAGGCAGAGGTGGGTGGATGGCTTGAAAGCTCAGGAGTTCAAGATCAGCCTGGGAAACATTATGAGATTTCCATCTCAATTTAAAAAAAAAAAGAAGAAGATTAAAAAATGGTACACCTGTGTAGGGTACATACCATGAAAGAAGCTTGCAGTATAAGAAGTTGCTCTGGGTGAGTCAGGGAGTAAGTGATAGATAGTTGAATGTGAAGGCCTAGGACATTACTGTACACTACTGTAGACTTTAAAACATTGTACACTTACACTACACTCTCTCTGTATATATATATATTTTTTTCTTTTCTTTTTTTTTGGCGGGGAGGGGGAAACTAGAGTCTCACTCTTGTCACCCAGGCTGGCGTGCAACCTCGACCTCCCAGGTTCAAGCTATTCTCCTGCCTCAGCCTCCCGAGTAGCTGGGATTATAGGTACCTGCCACCACGCTTGGCTACTTTTTGTATTTTTAGTAGAGACGGAACTTCGCCATATTGGCCAGGCTGCTCTCGAACTCCTGACCTCAAGTGATCTGCCTGCCTCGGCCTCCCAAAGTGCTGGATTACAAGCATGAGCCACAGCACCTGGCCAACACTCTATTTTTTCAATGAAGTAATAGTGCTACAACATTATGATGTCGTTAGGCGACTGGAATTTTTCAGCTCTAATATCTCTTCTTGTGAGATGATCGTAGATGCAGTTTGTCCTTGACTGAAATCATTATGCAGTGCATGCCTGTACTTTTAGTTCAAGAGAGCCATCTGGGTCTTAAGTAGGCTGCTTTTTCTTTTCTCTTCTTCTTCTTCTTTTTTTTTTTTTAATGTTCTAAGAAGGTATCTGAAGGGCTAATGAAAAAATGTAATGTGTATATGTATATGTATATCTTAGCCTACCTGAAGTAAAGGTGCTGGCAAGGCCTAACTGCCTTTCCCCCGTAATGTTTCACCACATTTGCTTGTTGTTCCCTGTTCTCATTTTAGAGTTAGTATGTATACAGAAAGAAACAGAACAAAAAATAAGGTAGTAATATTCGAATAAGCAAAGGTTTATTGATGTTTAGGCTAATAACCACAGAGGTTAATGCTGGCTTGCTGGTGTCCCAGGGCACCCTAAGTAGTTGATGCTGGATTTCTTGGAGAATTCAGACTGTGAATTTTTGATTTAAATCATTAGCCCTTTTTTATAAAGGGTCACACTACAGGCTAAGTACCATAGGCAACCAGTCACAGATAGAGAAGCCTCAAGTTCATACCACAGGCCAGACCAACTTACTTTGTGCTTAGGAAGGGGAAGAGACAGGCCATATCAGCTACCGGTACAAGTCAACTTCCGTCAAGTAGCAAACCGCACCCCACCTTCCTTTCTCGTATTGGTATGCATTAACTAAAGTACTCGTAAACCATCTATTTAATAAGCTATTCAAGAATTCTTGTTAAAGATGATGTGAAACTTATCTCTGTATTTTCCATTACAATCTATCCCTCTTTACTTTAAAAATCTGGAAAACAGTTGTCCGTCTTTTGTCTACTGGCACTCCTGATAGCCTCTGCAATTTCTTGAAGATTACCAATCGTGGCTCTGAGATTACATCTGCAATTTCTTTCAGCAGGCTTGGGGTGTAACTCATCTGAGTCAGGAGACTCAAAATCATTTAAATTGACTGGATACTCTCTTTCACTTCACCTATTTGGGACTTCAATTTTCTCTTTATTATGTTTGTTCTGACATTTCTAATTTGAAGACCAGCCTCCTTTCCAGTGAAGATTGAAGTAAATGGGAAGCTTAGTAGCTCTGCCCACTCTCTTTTAATGTTCCGTATTCCATTTGCTTACCTGTTACCCCACACCTCCCTCCCCACCACCGCCACCATCTAACAGTGCTCTATGCACATCTCTAACCAAGATGTCTAAAATGGGATTCCATTATTCTTCCCTCCCTGTTCAAGTTTACATCATGTCATGATTCCCCATCTCATTCAGTGGCACTATCCATTTGTCCATTACTGGAGCCAAAAACATGGGAATCTCCATGATTTCCTTCCTCTCCTTCACTTTCTTCTCTCATCCAGTCAGCCATAAAGTTCTGTCAGTATGGCCTAAACATCTCACTAATTCTTTTCCTCTTCTCTGTCCCACTGCATTACCATAGTTGCACAGTAGTTGTTTCAGTTTTCTACCTGATTTTCCATACCTCCAGTGGGCCCCCCGCGTCCCCACCCACAACCATCCCTCCCACACATCTGATAGGACCACACCCTCCTCTCAAAGGATTCATGATTAATACTTGCCTTCTGGAGAAAGTTCAGACTAAGGCATTTAGGAACTATCTGACCTACCTCTGTCTATACAGACTTGTGTCCTGCGTCAGCACCACCCACGCCACCCCCCCACTACCCAACCCTGTGCTACTCTGGACTCTGTCACAGCCTATCCAGCTGTTGAGAGCATCTTACCCTCGTGCCTTTAATTCCTTGACCATGCTGATATCATTGTTTGCATCTCTCACTACCTTCTCATTACCTCCCTTTCTACCTGGCTCTATTTTTTTTCCCCCCTTTAAGGCTTCACTCCTTTGGGAATGCTTCTCTAACCATCCGTTATCTCCTGGCCTTATTGATAGATCCCTCTTCAATAATCCCATATATTTTGTATACAGTTTCTGTCAGAGCATTTGTATTATAAATGTTCACTCACTGCCTCCTCCCAGCCTTACTTGATATATAAAAACCTGTGCCAACTTGGAATAAGCTTCCCTTGAAAGATTCAATGTACTGGTGAGGTAGTCTATCAAGAAAGAGAGGAAAACTGGGAGGAGAGTACAGTGGGAAGTCTAGAATTTTAAATCTAATGTGGACTGCATGAGGTTGTTATCAGAGTGACAACTCAGAGAAATAAACAGGCTCTTCATGTGGCAAGGCCACCTTGGCCTCTAGCTCTACCCAGAGAATCAGAGACGTTCACTCTGACTCCAGAAAAGGCTGTCACTGGGACTTAACGCAAGAGAGAACAGTGTCCATTTTGGTTTTCCTTAAATGTGGAATGAAAGTGGTTCTCCCAAACAATGTTTCTTTTCCTGACTCAGAGTGGGGATGATGAGCATGAACACACCAAAGGCAGAATTGTGTATCTCAGCACAGTATGAAGCCTCCAGCCTCCTTAAGCCTGCTTTTTGTTTTTTTCCAGTGAAAAAAAATCCATGCAACTGAAGCTCTGTATAACTGGCTGAGCCTTCAAAGAGACACGTCTCTGTGAAACTAACATTATGTTGTCGGGAACTGCATTTGCCTCTTCTGTGACATTATTAAGAGGAAAGGGAGAGAAATTTCTTAGCCACCAATGCTTGTGGACAATGCTGGAGATCTTGGCAGGCTGCAGTTAGCGACAGTTGATGTGGCCAGATAGACATTTATTGACAGGAAACTAGATGAGTGGCACCCCTTCATAGGGATGGGTAATTGACCACTGACAGGTTGATTAGTCAGTGACATTTGACCCACAGCTTCTATTGCTTGTGATGGCTGACTTGCTTTCCTAAGCATTGTATCTGAAAAAAACCCAGTGATTCTGAATCAACACCAGAGGGAGAGTATTAGACAGCCCAGTGACTTTGCAGTTTCCCCATCTAGGAGGAAGGAGATGTAGAAATCCTGGAAACCCTCTCTTACCCTGGCTGAGGTAGGGCCCAATCAATGGTATATTGGCGTTAAGTATTCAAGTTCTTTTATATTTAGTGACTACAAAGGCAAAAGTCTCAAACATGATGGCGCGATCATGGCTCACTGCAGCCTTGACCTCCTGGGCTCAAGCAATCCTCTCACTTCAGCCTCCTGAGCAGCTGGGACTACAGGCATGCACCACCACACCTGACTAGTTTTTAGAATTTTTTTGTGGAGACAGGGTCTTGCTTTGTTGCTTAGTCTGGTCTCAAACTCCTGGGCTCAAGTGATCCTTCTGACTCAAGCTCCCGAAGTGCTGGGATTACAGGCGTGAGCACTGCACCTGGCCAGACATGAATTATCTTGGTCACTGCATTTGCCGTTGCTAAGTGAAGGACATAATTGCCTTGTGACTAAGGATTTATTTTGTTTGGCTGGTTTCATCGACAGAAGCCATTTCTTCCTTTTCTGAGAGTTTACTCTGTAGCTGGG